TTATTCAACATAACACCCTTCAGATCCATCCAAGGTGTTGGATCTTGTCAATACTTCATTCCTCTCTGCGGCTGAGAAGTAGTTGGTTTATCCATCTGCCTACTGAAGGACATCGGGCTGGTTCCAGTTCAGGGCTTTTACAAATAAAGCTGCTCTGAACAATCACGCACCGGTTTTTGTGCGGACGTCGGTTTTTAAATGCGCAGGGGCACAATTGCTGGGTCATATGGTGAATGCCTGTTTAACTACAAGAAATAGATAAATTCTTTTCTGGACTGACTGTACCACTGCTTGGGAATGTTACATTTCCCCCAGCAGTAGGAGACGTTGCGTGCTCTAAATCCCTACCAACACTTAGTATGTCAGTAGTTTCTCAAGTGAGCCTTTCCAATAGGTGCACAGTTATCCTTTTTCATAGCTCTGTGTTTCACTTCCACAATGGCCACACCTTTCCACGTACATACCTGCTATCTGTATTTCTTCTTCAGTGAAATGTCTGGTCACATCTACTTTTGACCATTTCCTTAAAAAAAATTGTTGTTAATGTTTATTTATTTTTGAGAGAGAGAGGCTAAAAGAGCACAAACGGGAAGACGTAGAGAGAGAGGGAGACACAGAATCCGAAGCAGGCTCCAGACTCTGAGCTGTCAGCACAGAACCCAATATGGGGCTCGAACCCACGAACCATGAGATCATGACCTGAGCTAAAGTTGGACTAAAGTTTCACATTGTGATACTGTCCAACTTAACAGTATTTTCTCTTTTATGGATTGTGCTCTTGGTGCCTTATATTGAACTCTTCTCCTAACCCTAGGTCACAAAGATCTCCTTCTATGTGTTGTGTTGTTTTGTTTTGTTTTTTGCTAGTCTTGTATTTTAATGCTTCACTCACAGAGCTATGATCCACTTCAAGTTAATTTTTGTGCATGATGTGAGACTAGTTTGGGGGTCATATTTTGCTTATGGATGGCCAATTGTGTTTGCACCTTTATCAAAAATCAGTGGGGCACACTTGTGTGGGTCTGCTTTTGAGTTTTCTATCCTGTTCACATGGATCTACGTGTCTGTCCCGCTGCAATACCACAGTTTCCATTACCTTAACTATATAATGAGCCTTCACACCAGAGTGAACCTATAATCTCCCGCTTTCTTCTTTTCCAACACTGTCTTAGCTATTCTAGTCCCCTTGCCTTTACATGTAAATTTTAGAATCATATTGTCTATATCTCCAAAAAACACTGCTGGGATTCTGAGAAGCAATGGGTTAAACCTACAAATCAGTGCGGGGAGTACGCAATGCTGAGTCTTGCAATTCATGAACGCAGCGTGTCTCTCCATTTACTTAGGTCTTTTTAAAAATTTCCTTCATCAGGGCGCCTGGGTGGCTCAGTCCGTTGAGCATCCGACTCTTGGTTTTGGCTCAGGTCACGATCTTGCGCTTGTGGGGTCGAGTCCGTGGGGCTCTGCACTGAGTGTGGAGCCTGCATGGGATCCTCTCTCCCTCTCTCTCTCTCTCTGCCCCTTCCCCGCTTGCACGCATGTGTGTGTGTGTGTGTGTGCACGCTCGCTCTCTCCCAAAATTAATAAATAAACATTAAAAAATTTCCTTGGGAGAAGTGACGGTAAGCGATACTGTGTTTTGAAGTTTGGATCCAACTGTTCATCGCCAAGATGTAGAAAATAATCCATTTTTTTGGTGCTGACTTTGCATCCTGCAACCTTACGATACTCAATTAGTAGGTCTGGGAGCCGTTTTTGGTTTTGTTTTGTTTTTTTCTTTGAGGTTCCCTAATGCTCTTCCAGGAATGTCCAGTTCGTCACTTAGCCTCAAAGACCTCCAGCTCTACACTCCAGCAAACCCGAAACTTCTTGCAGCTGCCCAGCCAGGATCCCAGGGACACAGGGCCTGGGGGGCGGGGTACAAGGAACATGAAGACCTAGGTCCGGGCTCTGTTTTCCTGCCTTCGGTCAGCCTGGAGGGCAGGCCTTGCACTAAGGTTATTTACTTATTCCTTAATACTTGATGCGTTCTTACCATGCGCGAGCTGCCTTGGGAAGCCCTGGGAAAACACAAGTAAATAAGACGGAGCTGGCCATAAAGACCCACTTGTTCCTTTCTGTGGCTGTCCACTGCTCTCCAGCTATCTCGAAAGTTCGGTGACCAGGCGCCCTTAAAGTTCTGAACTTTCGGTGACTCTCACTTGTTGCCCATTGCTTTTGTACACACGAAGACCCGAACGATATGAATATATTCCGTGCCTTGCGAAAAAAGAAAAGGAAAAGGCTGTCTCGCATCGGGACTGACCCCACTTACTTGGGCGTCAGACTGCCCGGGTTCAGATTCCAGCCCCATTAGATAACCTCGGGGAAGGTACTTAACGTCTGTGCCTCGCCTTCCCCTTCTAGAACCAGCAAGGCTGCTGGTCTTATTAGAACAGGCGAAGTACGAACAAGAATATGAAGTTTTGAAACAGAGCTAGAAGGCCCACATTTACTCCTTGCATCGCCTTCCGGGAGAAGCTGTGTTTTAATTCACCATTCCTCTTTGGATGACGGTTTACTTGTCTCGTTTCTGCCGTGACGAAAAATACAGCAAAGGGCATCCCTCTCTGCGGCTCCTGTGTGGCTGTAAGGGATCCCGGAGAAGCGAAACCGCCGAGTCATGAGAAATGCCCGTTTTTAATTTTAATCGCTGCCGCCACGCTGCCCTCCGTGGAGGCCGTATCCACTTACATCGTCTGGGCATTTCCATTTCTTCACACCCACAGCAACACTTGATATCATCCGACTTCAGGCCGCCTCTCTTTGGGGGAGAGAAGGGACCAGGAGGAAACATGGTGCCCAACGGAGACCTTGGCCTCGTTCTCGAATTTTCGATCTGCTTTCAAAATGTATTCTTGATAACTTAGGTAATCGAAAATGAATCCGACGCAACTCCCTCCCACGGAATACCCCTTACGGAACTTCAATCTCGTTGGGCGTAATACACACTGAGCAAACACACGGACAAAAGTTAGGCTTGAGCCTGGGTGGCTCAGTCGGTTAAGCGTCGGGCTTTTGTTTTCAGCTCAGCTCATGCTCTTAGGGTTCATGGGTTTGAGCCCCGAGTCAGGCTCTGTGCTGGCAGTGTGGAGCCTGCTTGGGATTCTCCCTTTCTCTCTCTCTCTCTGTCTCTCTCTCTCAGAATAAATAAGTAAACTTAAAAAAAAAAAAAAGTTACGCCTGCAAATGGTAAAAAGGGCCGTGGGGGACCGTGGCAGGACGTGGCAGTGCGGTTGCTGATGATAAGGTGGTTGATGGTGGTGACAGCTTGCTGCCACCGTGTGCCGGGCACAGTACTCAGCCCCCTGCGTGTGTCAACTCGTTTACTCCTCGTTAACTACCCTCTGCGGCCGAGGTCGCTGTCTCCGCTGCGTGGACGACGAAATAAGCACGGAGCTTAAAAACTTCTCCAGCCTCACACAGCGAACAGAGACACCAGGCTTTGAACACGAGCAGTCTGGCTCCGGAGCCCAGACTCCTCACCAGCTCTGCAACAGCGGCCTTTACCTGCTGGAGAATTACCGCAGGTGGCACAAGGGGCCGTAAGGGCCATCGTAGTGCCACGTGATGCAAGCGCGAGGATGTAAGTCCTGTCGCTCTGCCTCCTTGCTCGGCGTGGTGGGCAGAACACCCCCCTCCAAAGATGCCCACGGCACAGTCCCCAGAACCTGTTAGGACGCTATGTTACAGGGCAAAGGGGGCTTTGCGGCCGTGGTTAAGGCTAGAGACCTTAAAATAGGGAGATTGCTTTGGGTTTTCCTGGTGGGCCCCACAGAATCACACGATCTGATTTTATTTCTTTAATGTTTACTTATTTTTGAGAGAGAGTGAGTCGGGGAGGGGCGGAGAGCAAGAGGGAGAGAATCCCAGGCGGGCTCTGTGCTGTCAGTGTAGAGCTCGACGTGGAGCTCGAACTCCCAAACTGTGAGATCATGACCTGAGCGGCAATCAAGAGACTGCCGCTTCACCGACGGAGCCACCCAGGCGCCCCTATAATCACATAATTCTTTTTTTTTTTTTTTTTTTTAATTTTTTTTTCAACGTTTTTT